ACCCACACCAATTGCATTAGTTACTTTTCTCTAATTTCTCAGACCAATGAAAAGGCAGCATAAGGATGGAGGGCTCGTTCTGGCTTCTGGTTCAAGGGGCTCCAGTCATTGTGTGTGTGGGGGGCAGTCCCGGAGACAGGAGAGTGAAGCGGCTGGTCACACTGTGTTTGCAGTCAGAAGCAGAGAGCAGATCTCGGCTCACTTCATCCTTTGTATTCAATCTAAGACTCCAGCTCATTGAATGGTGCTTCCGACACTCAGGATGGGTCTTCTCACATTAGTCAACTCACTGTAGATGAGTCCTCACAGACATGCCCAGAACTGTGTCTCCTAGGTGACTCTAGAGCCAGTGAGGCTGACGATCACTAGTAATCATCATAGCAAACAGGTGAGAAGAATCCTTCCCAATAAGAAAACTTTATTTAATGAGAGATTTGTAAAAAGTAACCGGTTTCTTCCCATTGCCTCTGCTTTATTTCTATTTCAATGCTCAGCTGATTTGCATGACCTTTGTCTTTATTGGGATCATCAAACTGTTGATGCCCAGTAAGTCCCAGCATTTTCGACTGCCTGAAATTTAACAGAGTATCCCAGATAATGAATTTTTATAAACAAACCCAGACCATCTAGCCTCTTTTCAGGGGAAATGAGTAGGCGGTGTTTGTTTGGAAATCCTTTTGTAAAAGGCTCAGGTATTGGCAGCTTTGGGGTTGACAGTAGCCAAACCCGAAGCCCACAGGAAACAGAATCAAGGAAATCCCTCTGTTCATCAGCTCTTGGGGCTGTAGCTTCCAGCTAGTGTCCTCGAGCATGGTTCATTGGCTCCTACGTATTTTCACCTTTAGATATTTCACCTAGTAATTGGCATCCTTCCCCTAACATTTGTGGCTGTCTAAAAGAATATCTATCTGTGACTAGCATCTTAGGTTTAGCACAAAGCCAAGACTTAAGTTTGTGTCCTCTGAACCTTGCTTTCTCTATATATAAAACAATATATAATGTATTATATAACCAACTGAATGTGGGTTTTGTCTTTAAAAGATAGAATCAAATAGACGACAATGTAATAGCATTTATAAACATGAATTTCTTTAGCAAAAGTTATGAATCTTCAGTTCTGAAAAAGAGTATACATTCATTCATATGAAAATTCTGCACATCCTTTCAGGGGGCTCTCTGGAAGCAGTTAACTCCAGTGTGCTTTATAAAAATTATTCTTGGTATAGACACTCTTAAATTCCAATCAATAATGTACATAAGGACATGCAAGACCTTTCCAAATTATTTTTTTTCCCCAAGCTCTCGTGGAGTAAACTGTGATTCCAGATGAAGACTAGTTGTCATCCAAAGAGAGTTTCTTTCCTTTTAATTTGTCTTTTCTAATGGGCAGAGTACAGGAAGTGACTCCAAAAGAGAGAGGACTGTGATGGTTAAGCTTCATTATCCGCTTGACCAGATTTAGAGTCACCCAAGACACATCTCTGGGCATGTCTGTGAAGGTGCTTCCAGAGCTGTTCCCCTGAGGACCAAAGAAAGGCGAAGCCTGAATGTGAGCATCACCATCCAGTGGGCTGGTGTTCTTAAAATCAAAAGGAGAAAAGAAGAAAGCAAGTGATACAATGTGACCAGCTGCTTCGCCTCCTGCTGCGAGTCCTCACTGGGGTGGACCGTACCCTCACACTGAGCCAAAATAAAGCCTCCCTGCCCTAAGTGGCTGCTGTCAGCCATTCTGTCAGAGTAACTGAAAACTAACGAAGACATGGACTGTTAGGTATTGAACAACTATTACGTACCAGGAGCCACGATCAACATCTTCCACATGGGATCTCACTAAGTCCCAGGAATGATGCATGCTGGTGGTGCTCCATTTTCCCAGGTGTAGAACTCCAGCACTGAGCCAATCATGTAGTCTGTGAAACGCCAGAGCCAGCACTCTTTGCTATTACATGGCTTCCACAGGCAATACTGTTTCTTGCTTTTGAAGTCAAAGCTTTACACGGGAGGACGGCCTGACGGGAAGGCTGGTAGCCTGAGAGGAGTCAGTGGATGCAGAGAGCAGCAAGTACATTTTCTGGATGGCAGTGACAAGATACAGTGCCCGTAACTGGGGCAGCCGCTGCCGTCCACTCCTTCCCCTTAACCAAATGGGCAGACAACAAGAGAAGGAACATAAACAAGACCTCTCATTAGACAAGTATGGCAGTTGCTTCCTTTCTCTGGTCAGCTTGTAAACCCTTCCTTTGCAGTAGTCGTTGTCTTTAGAGCATGGTGAAGGGCCCTGCCAACTCAACTCACTGGGTTTGTGAAGTACTGTGTGATAGTTCTCAGTATTAGCCTCGGTTCAGAACAAAGAAGAGTCAATAGTAGATAGTATTAGTTTGCTTTGGGGTTTAGGTGAGTAGCTGGAAGTCTATATTAATAGAATGATCAGATTTCCCTTTCCTCTAATGAACAGAGGATTTTATTTTCCCTTTTCTTTTGTGTTTGTGTGTATAGGTGTGCATACCTGTGTTTGTGTATGTGAAGGCCAGAGGTCAACTCATTTTTTGCTGAACACCTTTTTGTTTTTGTTTGTTTGTTTAAGACAGAATTTCTCAGTGAACCTAGAACTCACTGATTGACTAGATTGCTTGGTGAGAGAACAGCAGGAATCCCATCTCCACCTCTCAGCACAGGAATTACAGGCACTCATTACTATGTCCATCTTTCTACATGGGTGCTGGAGATCAGTACTCAGGCCCTCATGCTATATTGTCTTCTTAGTCCAGAACATTTTCACTTTCTAGAGTTATGGGCAGGTGGGTCAGGTCAGAGTATAAAAGGGCTTGCCATGCAAGCCTGACAACTTGAGTTTGATGCCTGGAGCCCAAGAGGGAAGGAGAGAATGGACCCCCGAAAGTTGCCCTCTGACCTCCTCATGAATGCCATGGTACACATGACCACTCCTATACAATAATAGTTTTTCAAATATGCTGCTCTTGAATTGTTCCCCATTGTGGTAGAAACCCTGCTGGGTCACCTTTACTGTGTGGCATGTAGTGGGTGCAAGCCAGCATCAGGAATTTGGCCTCTTGGTGAAGAACCAAACAGAATCCACCCACTCTTTGGGCGTGTGAAATAAGTGCATTTATTTGAAACTCATGAATTTTCATCATGAATGAACAAACACCAGAGGTCAACAGGAAACAAAAATAATACACATCCTTTCTCGTGGTCTGTATCAAAGAGCCTAGTCAAATAAATCAGAAGAAAGAAATTATAGTCTTTAAATTCCCAGGGCTTTCACTTTGTTATGAATCGATTAAGTTGAGGAACTTGTATAAAAGCATTTTTATGAGGAGATTTGGAACAAGATAAAGTGGGTACATGCTGATAATGTAAAGAGAATTGTTAGATTATTGCAGAACGTTGGGATAAGTGTACTTACATAAACAAAGGGCATGATGGGTTCTGCATGTAAGGTATGAGGTCTGGGTGAAAGGCATATCCTTTGTTTTCCATTGTCAGAAACCAGAGTCACCTATAGGACTTGTTGAAGTTCCTTCCAGAGTTTCTGATTCAGGGTTTCCGTTAAGAGCCTGAGAATTGACATTTCTAGAAAGTTCCAAGGTGTGGCTGATGCTGCTCTTCTACGACTGCAGCCTGCTTTACATACTGCAGGTGACTCTTCCAGGGTTTGCTTGGACACTTCCAATGAAGTGAGAGGTGACAGCTGCTGGTGCCACCAGAGCAACTTCCTTCAGTTTAAGTGACATGACGTGGCAAGTGCTTCCCAGTAACCTTACCCCTGATTCTGCCTGCTGGACCATCTCTGGATACCCTTAATCCCCATAGATGTGGCTCTACAGCACATTTACTCCAAGGAGAAGAACAGGGAGAGGTTCACTTGGCAAACTATGCTTCTTGTGTTCCATGCCTCAGAGAATCTGTTCAATTCATTCTACTTTCCAACTCCCATGTTTAAATTAAAAAAGGGAATGAAGTGCATAAAACTTACATGCAAGTATTGATGACTTATATACACACATACACATCAATGCACTTATACTAAGTACACCCATATTGCTGCATTGTACATCAAACATAGGACACTTTCCTTCAAAGGTTCTTTTGTATTCTTTCTAACTTATTATCTATACTCCCAAAGGAGCACTCACCCTACTTCATTTGCCTTTGGACAAGATGTATTTGACTTTGAACTCTATGTCAGTGAAGGATAGAGAATATATCCCCCACTCTCTGATGCTCTCCCTCAACATAACTATCAGCATCATCAGTAGATTCTTTTATTGTGATAGTCATGTATCATCCCAAGTGTGACATGTCCATAATGCCATATTGAATTCCTCCTACTTTGCAAATGCTTAAGTGTGATATTATAACACATTGCTTGGCGTTATGCTTAACACAAGCCAGCATGGTGATAACTACATCATGTCAATGGATCTTTTGAAGAGCATGACATTGGTACTACTATTTATGTATTTAAAGATGGCTTGGTAACCTATGCAAGGACTCACACCTGGTACAAGGTGGATCAGTATATGACAAAGTTCTGACTTTCTGTGATGGTTAATACTGTCAACCTGACAGGACCTAGAGTCACCCAAGAGACAGACCTCTGTGTCTGTGAAGGATTATCTAGATTAGGTTCATTGAGATGGAAAAGATGACCCTAACTATGGATGGCACTGTTCCATGGGATGGGGTCCTAGACTGAACAAAAAGGAGAAAATGGGCTGAGTAGAGTATTCATCTCTGCTTTCTAACCTTTGTTGTAACATGACCAGCTTCTACTCCTTTATGGTCTGTATCCTCTCAAACCATGGGCCCAGATAAAACCCTTTCTTCCTCGAGAAATTAACAGAAGTTCTTAGAAGATACCAGGGGAACTTTAAACAGATTGAAGTCTGACATCCTGTGTCTATGCAAAAAGGTAATCTTTTCAGGAAAGATCTTTCTAGCTTCAGCTATTTATTGTGTTTACATCTTATTTGCAGGCGATACGGGTCCTCCCCCTTCTACTGTTATCAACCAAAATGAAACTTTTGCCCAAGTTCTTTTTAAGCCTACTGTGGTCCAACAAGCTAAGATTGCCCAGAATGGAATTTTGGGAGATTTCATGATTCGATACGATGTCAAGAGAGACCAGCGTATTGGTGACATCCAGGTAACAACTTCCATGTTGCCACCATATGTGGAGCATGGTCCCTTCTGTTCGATTCACACTTATGGATTCCAATACTTACCTAAAGGTGAAAGGTATTTTTGGTTCTCCGTAAAACTGTTTAAACCCAAAATACATCTTCAAAGAGACCAGTGATGCTCCCTTGCTGGCTGCCAAGGGTACCTATTTCGCGCTTCAGTAACCTGGACAGCAAATGAAATCTATAATATAATTTTCCCTGTGGTGTTTTAGATGGGGTTAGAATCTTAGCACTTCTTCAACTTTAATTAAAAGAGACTGTTCCGTAGCTTATTTCCCTTTAGGTTGTATTGCTGCAGAGACAAGGTGAGAATATTAAGATATGGGGATGTGCACAGAGAATGAATGCAGACAACCTTGATACCTCACTGTGTAAGATGATTAGGAAAAATAGTGAAGGAAGCAGGATTCTCAAGAAGCAAGGTCAGAAGGAGATGCAGAATTAAAGTTGATGATTTGTCATGGTCTATGTATCTATATTATGTATACATGTATATTATGTTCAAGGTGATGCAGATTGAACCCAGAGATATACACATCCTTGGGCAAGCATTCTTATCACTGAGTTCCAACCCCAGTCCCTAATGAATATGTTTAAAAGAAATGATTCTACTCTATTATATTAATTAGCAACTAGTTCTCTTGGAGGGATCGAAGACTGTAGACAATTTTGTTGTTGGTGTGGAATGTGACCCTAGGCTGTCTCATGCCATCTTTGTGTTCTAGAATTTCCAAAGACTGTTCTATCATTTTCCTTCCCTTTCTGAATGCCACTTCGGCTGCTTTATTTTTCTCCACCAGGTTCTGAATGGTTACTTTGTGCACTACTTTGCTCCTAAAGACCTCCCTCCTTTACCCAAGAATGTGGTTTTCGTGCTTGACATCAGTGCCTCCATGGTGGGAGCGAAACTCCAGCAGGTGAGTGAGTGGGTGCCTCCCGCCCATTTTCTGCTCATGCTTTTGACCAGGTCAGTGATCTGCCTTTTGAATGACATTCAGTTGATGCCAAATGTCTGTTTTGACACCCAACTATTCCCACTTACAGACATCCTGAAGCTGACTCATGTAAGCTGTTGGTAGATTCTATGGATTTAAGAAAGCAGAAGGACAAGCTAGAGGGAACTTGGCAGAGAGGACAATGTGAGTGAAATAGGAGCACATTGAGGGGTCCACTCAACAGTATTGTTAGCTGACCACAGTGATGTACATTAGAATACAAAAGCTTAGGAGTCTGAGGCAGAAGGAACACAAATTCGAGGCTAGCCTGTGGTACACAGCAAGTTTCAGGAAAGTCTGGCTACATAGTGACACCTAGTTCAAAACAAGGCAAAACGAAACAGAACAAAATGAAACAAAACAGAACAGTACCATATTAACAAAAATTGTGTCCAGTGAGGATTCTTTTGTGGACAGTGGAACAGAACTCTTAGAAGTCAGTGGGATAATGCTTTTGTACACTGGTTTAATAAAACATTGATTGGCCAGTAGCCAGGCAGGAAGTATAGGCAGGATAAGCAGATAAGGAGAATTCTGGGAAGGGGAAGGCAGAGTCAAGAGTCGCTAGTCAGCAACAGAGGAAGCAAAATGTGAAGGCAGAACTGAAAAAAGGTACCAAGCCATGTGGCTAAACAAAGATAAGAATTATGGGTTAATTTAAGTGTAAGAGCTAGTCAGTAATAAGCCTGAGCTAATGGCCAAGCAGTTATAATTAATATAAGCTTCTGAGTGATTATTTTATAAGAGGCAGCTGGACTGCCAGGCTGGAGGAATGCGGGACCTGATGGGACCAGGCAGGACAGAGAAACTTTCAGCTACAGAAGTCCCTTTGACATATTCACAGAACAAAGAATTCAGGTCTTAAAAATTCAGTAGTTCTCACAAAATCCATAGCCTGTCTCCAAAACTCCAAGTTCAGAAGGGTCATTAGAGGACGTTTCCATTGTTGGCTGACGTCTATTGTTGCTGTTGAAAGGCAGTAAATTTTTAACTTGTGTTCTCTTCATTGGGATTATTTATTGGTGTCTGATTTTGTGACTTTCTCCTTTATACTAGTTTTCTGTAATTTTAGAATGATGGCTTCTTACTTATTCTTCCTGAGAGGTTTTCTTTTCATACTTTATGAATTTGTGGATTTATGGATGTGATGTTAGCTTTCATTGACCACTGGTCACGATCTAGACTTGCCTGGGAAGGGAGCATCTGGATGAGGTTGCCCTGTAGGCATGTTTCAGGGGATCTTTATTATGTTAACTGGGGTGAGAAGGCTCCCCACTATGGGCAGCATCATTCCCTAGGGAATTCAAAACCACTGAAGAGTGAAGAAAGGTAGCTGAGCACTTAATGTGCATTCATTCCTAGAAAAAGACAATATTGATTAATAATAATAATAATATAAAAAAACCTGTTCCAGATGCACTAAAGGGCTAAGTAAAAATAATCAGTGAGCCACATTCAAGGCTATGAAAAAAAATAGTTTCATTATTAACTAGGTTTATAGCAAAGGGCAAGTTTTTAAGGATAAAAATAAGAGCTGAATGTGACTACAAAGGAAAAAACACAATAATTTCAGGTAAAAGAAAAATGTAAACTTCTGGTATAAATTAAAAACAGCCGGGCGGTGGTGGCGCACGCCTTTAATCCCAGCACTCGGGAGGCAGAGCCAGGCGGATCTCTGTGAGTTCGAGGCCAGCCTGGGCTACCAAGTGAGTTCCAGGAAAGACGCAAAGTTACACAGAGAAACCCTGTCTCGAAAAACCAAAAAACAAAAAACAAAACAAACAAACAAAAAAAAAACAAAAGCGCCGGGCGGTGGTGGCGCACGCCTTTAATCCCAGCACTCGGGAGGCAGAGGCAGGCGGATCTCTGTGAGTTCGAGGCCAGCCTGGTCTCCAAAGTGAGTTCCAGGAAAGGCGCAAAGCTACACAGAGAAACCCTGTCTCGAAAAAACCAAAAAAAAAAAAAAAAAAAAAAAAAAAAACAAAAAAAAAAAACAAAAGCAATAAATGACTGGAAAGCTATATGCAGGAAACAGATAACTGTTTATCATCCATAAACATTGAGCTATTCCAGATCAATAAGAAATAAACTGTCCTAAGAAAGAGAACAAAGGATGTAAGACATGAGAAAAAAAATCCTTAAGAATATGAAAAAGGGAGGTGACCATATTAACAACTAAAGAGAATTAAAGAGAGCATCAAGCTCTCTATGATCCTAAGTGTATTACATGAATTATGTCATATGGAAGTGTTTAGTCTTTATAATCATTTTACTACCATCCCATTTTATTGATGGAAAAACTGAGGGTTTTCACAAGTACATAACCTGGCTAGCAAGTGGGAAGTTCAGGCTTTGGTTCCAGGTCTGCTCTGAAGCCCACAAACCAAACCATGGAACTATTGTACCATTATGTGAGCAACAGCGTGCAGCCAAGAGAGGACAAGGTCAAGGATGCAAGGTCAATGCTATCTCTTAGTTTAAGACTCCATCGAGAAGGCTGCATTCTGGAAGGCATGAGTTTCTTCCTTTATGCAAGAACAATTGAATGACTGATGTGAGACTGTCGCTCTTCTCCTTTCTTCTGGCATTTCTGGACACTAAAATCCTATTCCTTGCTAGTCACTGTCAGTCTGGCATGCTTCTGTCTCCTGGCTTCTAAGCAACTGCATGGCCTCTTTCCAGGAGAACCACCCTGGAACAGCCAGACACATGTCTGAGCAATTTGCAGAGCCCCTTGCTGCCTTGGGTGGTTTTGCAAACTCCTATTTTAACAATCTGTGATTTCCTCGGAGCCACAGCACTGGGTGGAAAGCTCAGCTGGCTCGTGGGAGAGTCTCATAGACGATGCCATATAACTGGTGAAAAAGAAGATTGTCCCAAGCACAAGGCTTTTGTATTGTGTCAACAGGCTTGGCAATATGAGACATTTGTCACAGGTCCACTTGGATCCTGTTACGAATCATCCTCCATGCTTTTGGCTTCTCAAAACTTGGACGGGCTTGAACAATTTCACTGCTCTTATCGTGGGGTTGGGAGTACAGGTGGTATTTAATAATTATTCAAGGGCTGCAGAGATGGCTCAGCGGATGAAGGCAGTGACCATGCAGGCCTGAGGACCTGACTTTGCCTCCCAAGGGTTGTCCTCTGACTTCTACACATGTACAATGACACACGAGGGTGCGCGCACACACACACACACACACACACACACACACACACACACACACATTAATTTAAAAAATACCTACTCTAACAATTGCTTTATAAGGAACTGTAAACATTGAGCTGGGGAGATGGCTTGGTCAGCAAAGTGCCTGCCATGCAAGACTGAGGACCTGGCTCTGGATTCCCAGCATCCATGTAAAAGAAGCTGGGTGTGATTGACTCTTGCCTAAACTATCAGCACTAGGGAGGCAGAGACAGGAATATCTCTACGGGTTTTTGGCAAGACAGTGTAGCAGGACTGGTGAGCTCCAGGCTCAGTAAAAGGCTATCTCAAAAATAAATAAATAAATAAAACGTGGAGACTGAATAAGGGAGACTTGTGATACTGGCTCCTGGCCTCCACACATGTGAGCACACACACGAATACAGATGCATGCACACACACCCTCCCCACACAACCAGTGAAGCTCGTGTAACTGGGGAAAAATGCATACTCAGTCGGAGGCGTGTCTGTACCTGGGGGCCCCTAAATCTGTATGCATCCAGAATTTTCTGGTTCTTTCCCTAGTGCAGTGGAAATGTGCATCTGGATGCTAGGGCTTCCTCAGTTTGAGAACAGAGATGGGAACTCCCTCTTGCTGCTGGCACACGCTTGGCTTTTTGTCTCCCATGTGGTTTTGCAGATGAACATGTTGGGAGGTGGCTCCGACACTGGGTCAGAAAGACTTCTGCTACTCAGTCCAAACCCTCAATGAAGCGGGAGCCGAGAAGGGTGATGGGGAGACAGATGATGTGGCCAGGGTGCCTGTCTTTCTTTTGTTCGTTGACTTGCACAGCTAAGGCCCGAGTATCTGCAAACATGTCTGTCCTGGGGGGACATTGGTGATGCCACCGTGGCTACTAAGAAGCTTTTTCTGGGCTGACAAGATGGCTCAGTGAACAAAGGAACTTGCTGTTATGCCTTACGAACTGCGTTCAATTCCTGAGGCCTTCATAGAGGGAGAAAATTGAGTCCTGAGAACTGTCCTCTGACCCCCTACACCCCCACTCACTCACACAAGTAGATAAGTGTAAACATTTTTTTTTCAAAAAATACATTTTTCCTCGACCAAAGCTCACACTTTCCCCTCAAATTTGTACAATTACTATTGTTGTTGTTGTTGTTGTTGTTGTTGTTACTAACTTTTCTATTTTGGTGCACGTGTGTGTGTCAATGAGAGAGAGAGAGAGAGAGAGAGAGAGAGAGAGAGAGAGAGAGAGAGAGAGAGAGAGAGAGATGAGTGGAAATCAGAGTGCAGCCTGGAATGCTGGCCCTTCCCTTCTACTTTGTGTGAGAAAAGGTCGTTTATTGTCCCCCACTGCATGTGCCAGGCTTGCTGACCCTTGGGCTTCTGGGGATTCTCTTGTCTACACCTTACCCTCGCCATAGGAATGCTGGGGTTACGGTTGCTCACTACTTCATCAGCTTTGGGTAGGTTCTGGGTATTTGAACTCAGGTCCCCACACTCTTGCGGCGAACGCCTTACCGACTGAGCCATCTCTCTGGCCCTCCAGTCATCTGTTTGACTGGATCTGTTGCTTTCACCTTCATTGTGAGGCCTGGCTCTGGGGTCTCTCTAACAGCTACAGTGATGAATGGCTCATTTCACAGGTGTTCCTCCTGTTGGGATTCCCTTGACACTCGGCACCACTCGGTGCCAGCCCTGGGTTCCCAGGTGGCGTGAATGGTTGTCTTCCATCCTCTCATTGATTTGGTA